ATCGAACTCCTTCACGCCCGAGGTCCAGTGTCCTCAAGAGTAGGTCTGATAAGTGTATCTTTAGGAATAATTAATGTGACTTCCTAATTGAGTAGATGTCAAGTATGTCAATGTAATTAATGTGAGATATGATGATAGTTCCAGCAGATGAGGCCACATGGATCCGATCTAATGGTTGTTTCGACATGTAACCGATGAAATGCTCGAAGGTCGCGGATAATTCTGAATGGTTATACTCATATGGTGGTATGGGACCGTTAAAGTGTGTTAAAAGCTTTCCTATTTTTCCAAGTATTGTGATTAAAAGTTGAAGAAGAGATGATAAGATTTTGACTTGTTTTCGACAAGGTAGAGATTGTTAGGTAACTGCTTCAAAAGTCAAAAGTTAAAGAACTTCTATTGAAAATAATGAAAGATAGTTATTGTATGGAAGACTTCTAATTAAAGTTGAGAGTAAACCCCTTGCAGAATTTGGTCTCCAATTTACAGTCGGTTTTGGAGTCTTGTACATGAAGGAATTCTTGTTGAGTTAAAAGAGTTTTGTTTGAATTTAAATTAAACTCTTCTACTTGGTTATTAATTCTATAAATAGTGGATATATTTCATTATTTTGAATGGGGCCAGAGAGTTGATCTAAGAGAAAATATTGTGAGCCTAGCATCTTGAGATTTTTCGTACATGGGCAAAAAAGTAGATGTGGAGTTTACTTTTTCCTTTGTAATACTTGGGGATTAGGTTGGTGAGTAAATTCTATATGATTATAATAATTTTTTGTATAGTGAAAAATTTTAACGGTCCGTTTAGGCCCCGTTTGATAGCCATTTTCTTCAAAATGTATTTTTCTCTCTCTTATTTTCAACCACACATTCTTTATTAAAATAATATTACTCGTAAATCAAATTTTTTTTCTTATTTTTCAATCACACATTTCACATCAATTTATTATTCTAAAATACATCTTTACATAAAAATGTCTATCAAACACCCTTCAATTTTTACGTTATATTCTTTATTTTTTTTCTTGTTTGTTAATATTCTCTTGAACGACAAAAGATCCTATAGGTAAATAGAAATAAAAAAAATTAGCATAAAATTCCCAACAGTGATATCAGAGCATCAGGTAGTTAGGAGTATTGGAGCAATAGAAAAATATGTCGTCGTTGAAATATAACGTGGACAAATTTGACAGGAGAAGCAATTTTGGCTTGTGGTAAGTACAAGTTAGAGATTTATTGATTCAAGCTGGACTGCACAGAACTTTGAAAAGAAAACCAACCAGGAGTTCTGGCAAAGAAGCTGAATCCATTATGAGCGATGAGGATCAGGAAGAATTGGATTCGAAGGCTACAAGGACGATACATTTCTATCTAGCTAAAATGTTCTTGCAAATATTCATGGGAATATCTACTGCAAAGGAATTATGGAAGAAGCTAGAAGAACTATATCAAATAAAGAGCCTCTCAAATCGGTTGTACCTAAATGAGCAATTTCATTCATTGCGCATGGAGACGGGTACAAAAATCTCAAACCATCTAAGTGCTCTCAACGGGATTATTTTAGAACTGGAGGCTATTGGAGTGAATATAGATGACGAGGATAAGGCACTACGGCTCATTTGGTCTCTTCCGTCAACCTATGAACATATCAAGTCAATCTTGATGTATGGGAAGAAAATTGTAAGTTTGGCAGAAGTGACATGTGACTTGATCTCAGAAGAAAGAAGATTAGGGAGGACAAAATACTCCAACTGACAATGTGATTCTTGTAATTGAAAAGGGGAAGAAAGCAACTTGTTGGAAGTGCGGTCAAACTGGCCACGTGAAGAAAAATTGTCCAAAAGGTGGAGCAGAGTCGGCAACTGCTTGGGGTCAGATAATGTGTCTCTCCTAGCGGAGGAGGACGCATATGAGATGCTGTAAAGTAAGATGAAAACATCCTTATGGCATGTTGTCAGTTGTCATGATAGAGGATGTGTTCTTCTTACTGGCGTGGGTCAGCATATTTGCATATAGCATTGATTGACATTTGATGCAAGGTGTGTAGGTATGTGGTGATATTGTGATGTCGATGGCTAATGAACTCTCTGGGAAAGTCAGTGGGAAAGTTGTACCCTAACTATCAACAGGGTTGTTTCGACATGTAGCCGATGAAATGCTCGAAGTTAGCGAATAATTCTGAGTGGTTATACTCATATGGTAGAGTATGAGACCGTTAAAGTATGTCAAAGGCTTTCCAGTTTTTTCAAGTATTGTGATTAAAAGCTGTAGAAGAAATGAGAGATTTTGACTCGTTTTGGAAAGGTGGAGATTGTTAGGTAATTGCCTCAAAAGTTAAAGGTTGGAGGACTTCAAATGCAAATAATAAAAGGTAGTTATTGTATGGAAGACTCTAATTAAAGGTAAGAGTAGAATCGTTGCAGAATTTGACCTCCAATTTACAGCTGATTTTGGAGTCTTGCACATAAAGGAATATTTGTTGAGTTAAAGGAGTTTTGTTTAAGTTTAAATTAAACTTTTCAACTTGGTTATTGATCATATAAATAGTGAATGTATTTTATTATTTTGGATGTGGCCAAAAAGTTGATCCAAGAGAAAAATATTGTAAGCGTAGCATCTTGAGACTTTTCGTACATTAGGTAGAAAAGTATGTGTGGTAAAACTCGAATTTATTTTTTTCTTTATAATACTTAGAAATTGAGTTGGTAAGTAAAATTCTATATGATTGTAATAAATTTTCATATAGTTAAAAGTTTTGACGGTTCGTTTAATTTGTACATTATATTCTATATTTTTTCTTATTTATTAATATTCTCTTGAGTAATAAAAGATTCTGCACGTAAATAGAAATAAAGGGAATTTGCATAAAATTCCCAACAAATGTTTGATATTTATTAGAGTAAGGTGCTACGATGTTGAGAATTGAGGAACAGAGGATTGATTGGCCTTTTTTGGATGATTAAATTAAATGAAGAAATTGATTCAAGCTGTTAAAGTTGGGGTGAGAGGGAATGGAAGAAGATCCTTACCAGGATGAGTGGTTGTAGTGGGATATAATAATATGTTTTTAAATTAAAAAATAATTATAAACTGATTATTGAATAAAAACAATTGATACTTGATTTCTGAAATTCAAAAATAAAGTATAGGGTTTTAGGTAATTTTTCTAGGTTATTTGGTCATTGGTTGGATCAATTGTAGGACAGATGTGTCGTTCGAAATATTTGTAAAAAAAAATCCTATTTGAAACAAAATTAAAATTTTAAATTGTTTGTCCCTAATTATTTTTTATTCTATCCATTTGAATTTCATTTGGCTATAAAATATTCATTGTATAGAGAAAGATGGAAACACGTCGTGAGATTGAGAATTTGACTCGTAATTGTACAGTCTGATGGAATATAAAGCAAGAAAAATGCTCTGCGTACGGAGCATTTTTTATAGAAGTCTTACCGACCCCTCACTGTAGGGGTCGGTCCCACATGAAAAAAAAAAATACACCTAAGCCCGCACATGTATATGTTCTGGCAAGGGTCTGTAAAACAGACCCCTGTACCTATAGCAGAGCTTATAAAGCAAATATTCTTCCAAACTATTCTGGTGTTCTACTTCTACATTTCTTTGTTCCTTAGTTTGGTTGATGTTTATTTATTAACCTCCGAAGGATTAAAGGAGATTGAATGAGTTCTTACAAGAGGCAAGAACTTGATAACGTTAAGGCTATGGATTAAAGGAGACTGACTGAATGAGTTCTTACAAGAGGCAGGAACCTAACAACGTTGAGACCACTCGGTGCTTAAAGTTGGTAAAAACTATAAGCACGTGACAATCTATAGAGATTATTTATATAGTAAATTATATATTTGTTACTACAATATTTAAAATTCATTATATAATATTCTAAAACTTATGATAAAATTTACTTTCCATTTTTAACTACATTTTATCTATTATCGACTAAAAACTTTCCTAAGTATCAAAAAAAATTTATATTAACTAAAAGTTGTTTCTCCATGCACAGTAATAATTTTTTAAAAAAGATTACTTCTTTGATAACTAAAACGATAGTTACATGTATTTTTTAAATTTATTTTTTGATTATTTAATTTATACTCCCTCCGTCCTAATTATGTAGGCTGAATTTCCTTCTTCTATTGTCTTAAATATATAAGCCCATTTCCTAATTTAGAATATTTCCTTTATTCAATTTTCTCTACTTAATATGTCAACTTCTTGAGATCATCCAAATACGCACATTTCCCACTTCTTAAAAATATGGAACAACCCTCATTTCTTCTTCAAATTAAATCATTCAAATTCTTTACTAATTCTAACAATAACTTATTATTACATATTGAAAATTAAATAGGGATAAATTAGGAAAGATCTTAACAAAAATTATTGCAATAACATTAAAGAATTCTTAATCCGTTTAGGACGGATGGAGTATCTAACACGCACATTACTACCATCAGTTTTTTCTGAAGGGAAAAAAATTGAAGTCTAATTTACTCCTTTTCGTAAGTTGAGGTGAAACAGTTGGACTCAACAGTGCAATGTTCATCATTAGAAAGTAACAAAAAGAAATAATAATAATAATAATAATAATAATAATAATAATAACTCTAAATATTAGAGTTGTGGGCGTCCCGTACATCTGAAGGAAGACTTGAGAGTTTGCCCCATAAATAACCACCAATTGGTGTATATAACTAATTATCTCGACCGGGATAAAGAACAAGAAAATTTTGGCTACGGTTGGTTTGACATCTTTGGGCCATTTTCTATTTTCCGTTTTCGAAAACGCAAAAAACGCGTTTGGTTCATTTATAACTGAAAACGCAAAACGACTTTTTATCGTTTTGAGCGTTTTCAGTTGTATATTTCCAAAACGCGAAAAATGCCCAAAACGCGCCGTTTTCGAGGAAAACTAAAAATCGTTTTAAAATCGAAAATGAAAAATGGAAAACTCAACCAATGGCACCCTTAATTCTTACAACTAAGGAATAAATGCTAATGGATAACACAATTGACCCACAACAATCCAAGCAATGCAGTCATAACAATGCGATTAAAGTACTGATCTTAGTAATGAATTGCATAGGAACACAATCGATGCTACAGAAATACTTGAGGAAGACGAGAGAAATTAGAAACAGAATAATATATGAGATAGCTGCACTCTCACAGTACTTGAAAAGTGTTGATCGGATCCAAGAAAAAGCAAACCATACATCAAATTTAGTTTAACCAACCTCGAGAAGTTGAGTTTATCGACTCTAGAAGACGACTGTGTCTAGCATCGTTCCCAGTGTCTGAATAATGTTAGAAGACATCAAGTTTGAGACATGCTCCTCGAGGTGCTTCTTCGCGTCTTGCCTTCCCACGTTAGCAATAGCTAACTTCTCTGGGGGCAATTCATCCTCCTCCTGAACTGCTTTATTGTATTTGATAGCTAGATTTAACATCTCCTGTGACCAACAGAAATTGCTTGAATGAGTACAATAGAGTGGAGAAGAGAAAATATGAGGACGAGTACAGTGAATCTCTTAGAGAGAAGTCGTTCATAGACAAAGAAACAAGTCATACAAATTCAGGTTTCTATCACAAGGAAAAACCATTAGTTTCTATTTCTTGTATATATTATAGGTATTCTATATTGTCAAATAATCTAAGGTGTCGGAAATAGAGCTGAAGCTACAAATATATCAGAATTACTAATCACTCAGCGCATCACCCCACCAAAACAAATTCCACTTACAGAAACAAGCATGCATGTGAATTAAGACCATAGGATAAACTTAGAAAAAGACCAAATAGAAAAGAAATGGTTTTTCAGCCACAAAATCACCAAGTCCAGCCGCAAAAATGTCAGTTTTGGAATAACCTCAAACAAGGCATTATCACTCTTATCTTTCAACTAACTGTAATGAAACTAGATTCATTCTAAAATCATATTCTTATGAATTTAAGACCAACATGGCACTTATTCTCGCCCTAGAGAAGTTGACTCTTGAACTCGAAAATATCAAGTATGCTGACTTTACTGACAGAAACATCTCCACTTCAGCATCGTTTGCCAAGACATAAAGCAACAAAACATAAAAGCTGAAAAAGACAAGATTTAAGGAATTTTCTTCATAAGCAATGAGCCTTTCCCAGCTGACCCTTTACTAAATGATTGATGGGAGAATTCATTCATTCTTTTAAAAATTTCCTTCGCCAACGCAGTATATCTAAAAATTTCCTGTTTCTTCCATTTTTCTGATCCCCTATACTCAATGGCTATATTTTTTTTTAATTCTTGCTCACTCACACTAGCATCCTGCACTTGACCGATGACTTTATTGTTAAATTTCAAATGCTAGGCCTCAAAACAAAATAACGATCAGCGTATTTTTTACATGATTTTTCCAACCGCTCAAATCATAATAGTTCAGTCCATCCTGTTGCAATTATGCGCTGATTGTGCAGCATAATATAGCTCAATATCTGCCACAGAACACTGTTAATTTGTTTAGGCATAAAATATCTGGTGGTTCAAGGAAGCTCGCATCATTAAGCATAAACAGAGACATTAGCCAACAACAACAACCAGCAGACAAACCCAATAGCAACCAAAAAAAAGTCAGCAGCCCTCAAAGGTACCTGAACTGTCTGCTCATTTGTTTTTGAATGGTCATCAAACCGCTGCAGGGTCAATCCATCCGTCCATTTCTTTTTGTGAAGATTTAGAAGCATCTTCTCTTCAAGCTCATTCTTCCTATAATTTATGGCTATGGAGTAATAATGCCTGTTCAAACCATGAATTAATGCCTGCAATATAGATAACCCAATGAAATTAAAGTCTTGAGAGTAAATAAAATTGAAATGAACATCATCAAGTTGCTACATTGCAGCAATTACTTGGATAGATGGCTTATTGAGGTGCCCCAGGTTGGATGTTGTCTGGCGTGGTTCTTGGCCAAGCATCATGGTTTGGGGATTAATCAGACGAAAGGCATCAATTACCACCTTCCCTTTAACACTCTGAATCGGATCCACCACCACTGCAACTGCTCTTTGATTCAAAGCTTCAAAACTCTGCATAATTCAACAGATGAAGCAGCAGAAGAGGTGCATATTTAAATGAAAAAACATCGACTCAATGAAACACCACAAATAATACAAAAATAACTCATTATTCCGAATCAAAGAAGAGTTTCCATACCTAATGGGTGTCATAATAAAGTGAACTTTAGTGGTCATATGACCTACCCTACCATGCAGTAAATCTGAAAAAAAGGTAAAATTCATTGTGAAAGAGAGTCATTTTTGGCCTAGTGTGGTCATAGTACCAAAAGCCTTAGTTTTCAGTGTTAATGCTAGTCGATTTTGAGAAGGTTTTGCCTATTATATTTACTTAAGGTTTCATGGATTTTACAAAGCTGCATACAACGAAAATGGTCGTACGAGAATTCCCTATTTATAGTGCTATGGATTCAGCGAAAGAATATCACCCTAAATACTAATTTCCTCATTGCTAAAAGATTATATTTAAAATTGCTATCCCCTTTTGGCATTCAGAAAATAATTCTTATGCTGTGGAAACCGTCTCTGTCTCTCATGTACAGAATCTAGACGGTAATACAACGGGTTTTTATTTCCATCAACTTCCTCCTGACTACTTTTCATAGGCACTAGCATTGTCAATCAAACTTGAAGAACTCTTCTCCAATTTCTTCAACAAATGCGAGTAATTTGAACACTTTAAATGTAACCTATAATTACAAAAGAAACGTCAACAGATTTCAAAAATACAGTGCCACGTGGGTTATTAATAAGAAAGTTGATCAAACTTCGGTTGCTAAGATCATACCAACCACCACATAACATAAAAAAACCCCGAATTCGTTACACTTCTTTTATCTCATCACCCATGCTCTCAACAATCATAAGATTCAAGTCCAAATATCACACTTTATAGCAGTTTAAGACCTCTACCACATGAACCAATCAACTGACACTCCATTTTAATCAGTTACTTGACGAACCCATAAATTACTGAATTACTTAACTGTTGTACGCTTGCAGATTTCTTGGATGGACCTTTTGGAACAGAACTACGTCAATTAACTTATTTGTTAGATCTGTGTTATTTAAAAATCTTTTACTAATTAAGTTATTGTGGAGTGCAAGGAGAATTACATCGTTAACCATTCTCGATGATATCAATAGTAGAACAGAAATAATTGGTCATATCAATTATGGAACCTAAATGACTGGATCAAATTTGTTTTTTCAATATTTGTTGGTCTGACTCTTCCATGTCCTCTCCCTCTTCTTGTAGAAGAATAATATACAGATACAACCAACATTTAATAAAAGACAAAATTTGATCCGATCATTTTTCTTTAAAACTGAGATAAGAACAAAAATGACCTTGCTGATCTAGTTCTCCCAGTAATTAAAAAAACTAAATTAGTACAAGTTTTCAAATGCCAAGCTTAGACATAGCAAATAAGTTTATTATCCTGATTCAAACCGAGCTATCAAAGAAATCTCGAGCATCCATACAATAGTTAATTAACTCAATAATTTTTAGATATATTTGCTTAGCATTTAGATTATGCAGAAGATATAATCAAGGATATCATATGTTAAAATGCATTTAAACAGAGAGGAGACATAACACAACAAACATCAAACTAAACTTATTCCCAATAAATTTGGAGTAGGCTACATAAATCATTATGCACCATTCTTCTTTGTTGTAAATAAACACTAGTATTACAAAACTAGTCTAATACCAAATACAGAATTTGTCTCTCTTTCCAACAAGTGTACATCGAATGTAGTATCCCATAAACAATATCAATAGGGGTAATTGTTCATCTCAAGAGGTCATTATTCCATTGAACAGGTCCAGAACTTGTAGTAGAACTAGCATCTTCAATCACTTCAAAAATCAATGTTGAAAACAATGAAATTGCATAAGTAAGCAAAATTAAGCGATAGATACTGAATTATTTACACATCCAGCTAAGATCGCCAAGCCGCCACCTCGTTCTCATTCTCGTTATTTTTATTGTGTCTAGATAGATCTCTATGCATGATGCTTTTTCTGATGGCTATGGTTTAAAAGACTCGCTATGCTGTTTCTTCATTTTTGAGCGACTACTACACTCTCCACCATCATGACGATTAATGAAAAATTGAGAATCTGGTACTGAAATGTGTGAATTTATATTTAAAATTACATTCTATTTCAATTTATTTTCCTTTATTCAATTTCCTAGTTTTTTATACGCAGGAGCATATTAATTTTATTACATATAAGAAAAAGAACGGGAAAGAAAGGGAGTCCAAGAAGAGAAGACTTCAGGGCAAAGAAGATATTCAATTTATCATATATTCAAGCATATTGAATTACAATGATGAAGCCCTCTATATAGAGCAAATAAACTAAAAAGAACATAAAATCAAATGAACTTCATTAAGCTAGAACTTTATCAAAATATTGAACTAAACCAATCTAATTAAAATAACAAATTCGGAATCAAACTCTACTTTCAAAATCATATCGAAATTATATTTATATTCTCATAACCATCACCATCACCATTTTTTAGAAGAGACAAAAGATGTTAGACTCCCTTATTTTTAGTTCTGAATCATTTGGAACTACAATATATCTAAGGACCTTGCTTGATGTACATAATTTTTTGTACATCAAAGTGTCCTCCACTCACATGGGGTGGGGTCCACTTGAATATTTTATTATGGTGGACCCCACCCCATGTGAGTGGAGGACACTTTTATGTACAAAAAATTATGTACACGTAGATTTATCCTATATCTAAACCCTGAAGATCAACAATTTCCCGACATTGATTAATCAAAAAGTAGATATGATCATAGGGCTGGATACTTATGAGATGCTACATTCGATTTAACAGCAATCCTTTATATTATTTCTTCTTCAAGGAACCTACAATAATGTCTAAATATATAAAATAAGTACTTCATTATCACTCATATTCATAATAAAATCATAAATAGATTATCACAAATCTTCCTGCAAACACTTGTTTTCTATAACCATGATAACAATTCACGTCTTTCATAGCTAACTCTCATAATCAAACTTTTGCCAGCAACATTTATCATGTCATGGTTCCTTTTTCAAATAATGGACCATCTCTTTTAAAAACACTTCAGACACCTTAGGACATGGGTCTACATATTTATAGGTAATTGCTAGATGATCCCTTGTCCTCTTAACACCTCCTTTATATTGTCAAAAAGCACACATTGGATGTAAATAGAAGATTTCTTCTCACTTCCTGATTACATGACTTCCCATATTTCCAAACCAAATTTTTTAATTTGGTATTTCTCATCCTGCTCGTAAGGAGAATTGCAATCCTGGACCACAAGAAGTTACATTATGAAATAATGAGAAAACACAACAACTACCAACATTGGAGGCATAGGTTAGTGGCAGACAAATTTGGTAGTCCTCGTGCTGTTTATGAACACAATTTTATGTTTACATAAGATATAAATAATTACCATCTCCAACCAAAATGCAGAGAATCATAGATCCTAATCTCACAGAAAATCTCAGTCATTAGGTGATTATAAAAAATAATTGGTGTTTCTTTCTACCTCACATTGTCATAGATGTTCAACTCTTAGGACCCACAGCTATAATAGGAGTAACAGGATTTTCATTAGTTTCTAGATTTCCAATTATTTATTTCCTTGTGCAATAAAATCATACAATCCAATGTGGTGAACACAAAAATAACACATGATATCATGCAATGCCAAGAAATAATCAACACGAGTAATAACCTGCTGAGTATTGATGTCAACACCAGAAAGCCAACATCCAAAACCAGGATGGGAATGATACCAACCAACCACCATCTCAGGTCTGCAAAATTGAGCAGAAAAACATGCAGAGTTTAAAAAAGGAGAAAACATATCATGCAGTGTCAGTCATAATAAAAAGAAAGTAATAAGAAAATCCTCAATGAGCACTCCAGGAGAATATATCCAAATTCAAATAAGAGTCGGATACTATAGCACTTCCAGGAACCTCAATAAAAGAAACAAAACGAAAACAATTTCAAATCAAAGTGAAACTCAGGAAAACAGAACCAAATCGAAGAAATTAACCAGCAAAACTTTAGAGCATCCTGATATAAATGAATCATCAAAATTAAAGCAAGTGGCACTAGAAAAAATGGGCACGGAGCTTCATATGATTTTAAGATATGCAGGACAAAAAATCGACATTCTAAATACCAAGAGAACTTCTCACTTTTCATGTAAACAAGGGAAAGACCCTTTTAAAGATGTATGGAACTATTCATAAGGTAATTTGCCAAATGATTAGATGAAGATAAGACTACGTATTACAAAATAATCGCAGCTTCTCATAAGAGCTAGAGAAAGGCATTATGCAAACGATAGAAAGAAATCATTCATATTAAGGAAATATGTTTCTGATGTCTGATTAAATGAAAAGTGAGTCAAATGGTTCCAAAAAATGGATTTCAAAAACGATAAATGCCATATTTATTTAAACTGAATAAAGATTTTCAATTTTATGATAACATTAACAAATTGGAAGCAAGCTGAAAGACTAGGTAGCACAATACAGCATCTATAAGTCTTTTAGTTTGCATTACATGTTCACATGTCTATAAGAATTGACTTTTACATGGATGTTTGGTTGGGGGAAACAGAGGACTGGGATCAGAATTGAAAGGGCTGGTGTCTATTCCGGGCATTCGTTTGAGCCTACAGTGGGAATCAACAATTTCATGATTCCTAGAATTTAACTATCTGGAATGAGCAGAAATCAGAACAGAATGCACATGACCTCCTTATGTCCAATCAAGCAACCAAATTGGTGTGCATGACAGGCTTCCCTGTCGTCGAGATCACTACAATGTAAAGTAGCCTCCCAACCATTTTCTTCTCTTTCACAGCAGCCTCAAGAACAAAGCAACTCATTTACCTCACATACAAAGCAACTTGTACAAGACAACGCAGCAAAAGCCTCCTCCGCTTCCCACATAAATGATTACATGCGCACACATCAAATTCAAATTTCTAGTTCACTATGAGCTAGAACCAGATGGCTAAACATCTAACAAACAAAACTACGATACAAAACCATTCTGAAGGAACAAAACAAACAGCTTCTTTCAACATCTGAAGCTCATCTAGATTTCCATTAGGCATCTGAACCTTGTCTAAACAACTCAACTGAACTCAATCAGTCTCAAATTGGTTCAAGCTGGGTTGAAGAATTAGGGTTGACTTTGGCAGGAAAATGAACTCAAAATGAGTTTTTTTGGTAGAAATCACATATTGACAAGCTTGAATGGTTGATCTTAGTAAAGTTAACTGTCTCAATTCCTTTTATTGCAACCCATCATTGTCAAAGAGCTTGAAAATTGAAAGAATTTGAGTTAGGCATATTTCAAACATCTGAAATCATTTTTTTTTATCATTTCGATCAGTTTTCCATTTTCTATGGCCATTAGGGTTTTTCAAAATTATTTATATTCAAAAAAATAGATCGAACAAAATTTTCTACACTTTTTAATCCATAGTTATAATAGTAAAATGTTGATAATTCCAATTTTGACTACGATTTGAGCCAGACGACATTTTCTATTGATTATTTCAATCCATTTCATGGTTGAACAAAATAAGATTAGATATTTTTTTATTCTTATTCCAAATCAAGGAATATGTCATTTTGATCTCAATGTCCAATGGTAAAAAGTATGTCATCTAATTTTGTTATATTGGGATCTCTGCTGCTTTTCAATTTACTCCCTCAGCTTTTAAATTAGTTATAACGTGGAAACTTCCTTGAACTTGCACATACAAAAATTTGGTGATAATACAGTATGAGATGGATACAAGTTAGTCATCTGAAGTGAAGAAGAGCATTTTCTTTTAAAGAGAGTTCCTACAATTTATGTTCAACATTCTTTCTCTGTTTTCTTTTAGTGGGCACTGGGCAGGGAGTCATACTTCAGGATTCGAGAAAAGAAACTTCGAAAAAGTGTCTAAATTTGACGGTTCAGCCATTAATTATATGCATTTTCTTCTTTAGAAAGAAGAGCAATCACCACGTGAGCATAAAATAAATCTGACTCCACATCTAGTTTTGTTTCCACCACCTTTGCAAATTATACAGTTTTTCACATTATTTGAAACGAAATTCCCAACAAGTGAAACAACTAGATTCAATTCAATGAAACTACCTACACTGCTATCATGAAACCTAAAAATACACAAAGATAGAAGAAAATGAATCTTCTCCTTACCTGCCAGTTTGCTTAAGCATGTCGAGCATATTGGTCTGGAAAACATGATCCACAGCTTCCACACTAACCCCTGTCCCACTCTGCGGCATCGCAAAAACGTCCACCACGCGCACAGTGTACTCGTCCACGAATTCCCCCAGCATCAGCCCCATCACTTCCATCGGCACTCCCGCCCTCCCTATAATACCATACACACAACAAAATGTTAAAACCCTAGTTCCATCAACACACTAAAAACCCTACGCTACAGACACAAAATCAAAGAATAATTCAAGTAAAATTTCAACTATATATGAATCCCTAGATTTACCGTGTTTGAGCATTTTTAATAGAGCGAGTGACGAGATGTAGACTTGTTCGGAGGTATCTAGGGTTGGAGAGTCCGGCGGCGGGTGGCCAAGAGCGCCGCCGGCGCTGGCGAACATTCGTTGTAGTCTTTCCATGCCGGACATCCAGAATTCCTTCACAGTCAAAGTCCTGTTTCGGGTATTCTGCTGTTTTCCTGGGCAGATGATAAGAGTTTCGAGATCGGATTTCTTTGGAAACAAGCAGAAAGCGGACTGATGTTTTGAAATTTATGCTCTTATCCTTTCGGCTAACGCGAATGGACTGCCTTCATTTTACGCAAAAAATTGGTACAAACAAAAATTTGGTCGTGAAAAGGAGTTGGAATAGTGATTTTTTATTTTTTATTTTTATTTTTTTTGGTGGTTGAAAAGTTCAAAAAAAAAAAATGAACGTGTAAACTATTTTACTATGTAAATGTGTGATTAAAAAAAAGAGTATGAGAATTCGGCCCTGCTTGTATCTATTTTTATAAGAATGAGAATGAAAAATATAATCATAATAGGATCCACACCAAAAATGAGAAGTCAAATATGATGACTTGATATGATGGATAACAATTATATTTTTCACTTTTATGACAAAAGAATGAATACCAAACGGGTTAAAGAGTTTTAAAATAATGGTTATAAAACAAGGGTTAAGACCATATTTAGTCCTCATTTTCTTAAAATTTATTATTAAAAATACATTTTCAATCATATAAGAGACTTATGCCCTTGTTTGAGTCCCATTTTTGTGAAGAAAATGAATTTTTGAATAGTGTATTGATGGAAAATGTGTGGTTAAAAAATAAAAAAAAGTTTTTAATTTACGTATAATATTATTTTATTGAAAAATGTGTGGTTGAAATGACGTTAAATTACTGTTGAAAAATGTATTTTGGTTAAAAAAAGGGACTCAAACAAGGGCTATATTTTTATCACCTCTTCAATCACACATTTTGTTGATTTTTATCAAAATCAAAGGGGGCTAATTGAATTTATAGGAATTTATAGTATCTACAAAGTGTGTGTACCCACACCAGGAAGGCTGAGGTGATTAAAAAAAAAAAAAAAAAAAAAAGACCCACCTATGATCGAGGTTTGAAAAATTTTAGATTTTGCAATAATTGGGACAAAATCAACTCCTTTTTACTTATTATTAGAAGAAGTTGAAAACCTTCCACTTTGAAAAAGATTTCTCACATCTGTATTCAAATATAAAGGAATACGACCTTTAGAGATTATTTGATGTAGAGGCTTTATCGAAAATCACTTTATCATGTCCGTCAAAAAATGAAATAATTTGGTAAAAAATAATTTTAATAGGAGCAGGAATCGACTTCTAATTATTTTCAAAATCCACAAGTCCCTTGGATTGAAGATTCCATGATATCTTTTTAGAAATCAGTATTTGAATGAAGAGAGTTCTACCAGAAAGCTTTCCTCCTTAGGAGATGAGCGAAAAGCTCGAATATTAAGCTCCTGTTTGGTGGGGATTAAAATCAAATTTTTAGTATAATTTTATGGAAGTTGATGAAATGAGTGGTTACAAAGTAATGGGACCCATAAAATATATTATTAAAATTAATTGTTGATTTTGAGTTAGATGAAAATCACAACTTTTCTTTAATTTGTACAAAATGGGGCTGAATTGAATATTCATGAGATTGTAATTATTCGATATATTATAGCAAATGCTTTTGAATGATTATCAAAATCGATATTTATTTTTTTAATTTGAAGAGTAAGAGCATTAAGAATAACTCCATCATTAAGATTGATAGTAAAAGTTGGGTAACAGTTTGAAAAAATTGGATCACTTTTAAGATTTGACTCTAAAACAAATAATAATGAATTTTCTGAAAACCAAAGAATAGCTAAACAAGAGGGGATGAATTGGTTATTTAAAATTTTTTCAAAATAATCGCAACTCAAACAAATAACAAATAAATTAAATGCACAAGAAAAAAGTAATAAGTAAAAGGAAAGAGAATGCGCAAACAATGTAGTTATGGAGGTTCGATCCAGTCAACGAATAATGTCCCCATTTACCATGCTTTTCGTCACAATCAAGGTCTCTTTCACTATGTTTGATTGACTTATAACGTAATTCAACCCTTACACGATTTTGGTGCCTTGCAAACAATGAGCACCGATCTTTTTGCAACGTTGAGCTTTACGAGACCTGAACACGACCCACAATTCAATCAAAAGTAAATTTTACAAGTGATATCTTTTCTCTTAATAAATGATGTAATTAAAATTAAGTACCAAGAAAGAAGTAAGCTAACATTTCAATAGATAGCAATATATATAGCTCAAATGTTAGAGTAGAAACACTTTTATGAGAAAAATGATTTTCAATAATTTTATTTACTCAAAAAGTTTTTCAAGAAATAAATGAATTGATCTTTTAAAGAATGAAAAATAAAATAACTAAGATCAATAATTCAAAAAGTTATATTGAGTGAAAAAGTGAAATGGAATTTGTAGCAGTCAAAATGCCAAAAAATCTGTTGATTCGGACAATTCATCCGAACGTCCAGATCTGAATCGGACAGTGCAAAAATAATCGTTACGCATCATATGCAGAACAGTCAAAAAACTGATCGTTGGAGCATCCAGACGTTCGGATGGACAGAAAGTCCCTGGAAGCTTCCTTCGTGATAATTTTGTTCGATGTAACTTTTGAATGATCCCTTTACTCAACTATACAAGACAAGTGATTTTTATTACAAAAATTAGATCATCGGGTTAAAATCCTTTTCTTTTGAAACCAATTTTTATGCATTTATTTGAGTGATAAAAATTCTTTTCGAGCTATGTTCGATTCAATGCTAAGAATTGAAGTGTTTTAACTTTACATATAAATTCAAAACATATGTACAATGTCTTGAAATGCTAGGTTCTTTCACTTAAACTTTCGTCGACTTGCCAACTTGTTTCCTCGTCGATCATCAATTTGCACGTCTCTTGTTCTCAATCTTCGTGTCTTCGTTTATATTAATTTTTCAATAATATCTATAAAGTCATTCAAATGCAATTTGTTAGAAATAAATGCAAAGTGATGGACAAGTATTAGGCATGCATGAAGGACAAACTTAGACATTGAGGAAGCGTGACAGGAAGCTTACACTCTGATATAGACCACTGAGGCTCTTTCTATATTGTCAACACTATGCTCGGCGATCGCGCTAGCCTTATCAGGCATAACTTAAGACTGAAGTATCCCCATCTCATGGTAACCTTGAGTGGAGAGAATCCAAAGTTCGAAAGAGAGTCCTCACGCTCACAACTGATGTGGCTTAAGCTGCTCCTCTTAGGCACAGGCGGCAGGGCAACTTCGTTAAGGTCATCTGAAGGTAGAGGAATCTTTTCTATAGCCTGACGCTTTGCCTTTCAGTCACTGATTTTCTTTCTCTTTGACGAAGCAGGAGCTAAGTCCATATCTCTCTCATGCTCTGTTCCATCATAAAGTCCATGGTTTCTTCCAGGTCGAACTCCATACCTACACACAAGGTGAAATCAATTAGGTTCAAAGAACAACGAATGAAGATGCTCACAAATATAAAATCAAAAGCAATGTATCAAAGAACATACCATCAGTAGGAACGAAAACATCATCACTCCTTGGTGCGGGCAAGGTCTTCAACACCTCGTCCAAGTTAAAGGCCATATTTGCATACGTGCAACAAAATTCACCAAGCCTGAAAAATAATAGTAAACATATACGAGTGCAAAAATTTAGGCATGGAAAGAGAACCTCCCAGTAGGACGACTGATCCCCGCTATCATCATCTTTCACATAGTCAAAACTAATCCTAAGTCGGGTGCAAAAGGTGGGTATCGGTTACTTGTTGGATTTAAGCTCTTAGAATGGAAGTGATTTCTACCTGACTATTCAAAAGATGAATTTGAGGGTGTTTCCAATTCGTGTTGAATGAGAATTGACCCACCAAAGGTCAAACAAAGAAGAATCGAAACTTTCACCCACTATTAGAATTCATGAAAGTACAATGGTGAAGTAGACAAACGCATTATACCGAGCTAACTCATGCATTTCAAAGACACACTTAAAAAGTGTATGAAAAGTGGGATTTTCTTGCTAAGGTAGATATACAAGAAGTACTATGCTTTCCTCTATGCGTTACGATTTATGTGACTGGGAGTAAGGTGGAATTCATTGAAAATTGAGACGGAGAAGGGATTAATGGAGAATCAAAAGCCACCATCCATGATATCTTTATACACAGGGAATCTCGCTATGGTCAAACCCGGAGAGTTTTTCTTTTAGCTTAAGGGCTCTATAACTGTAATAATCAACACGATCAAATCTGTAAATAGATTTTTCCAACTTAAGGAGCGAATTGTAGAGGCTATATAGCATTTTGGGATCTCAAAAGCAACAACCTCATCCGAAGGATCCCGACCAATTTCTAAGTTTCGATTCAAAGACTTGATTGACTCAAGGTGTCTTTTGGGAGAACTTGGTTGAAATATTTGAGTTTTGGCTGTATGGATTGGGTTATTAAAATCATAGAACAAATGACAGACCTCCCAAAGGGGGCGCTCAACGGGGTTAGCCAACAGTCGACCAGCCATGCGTTTGACCGTGCATCGACCGGCCTTGCTGGCTGACTGTCCAACGTTTGTCGACTATCGATCGATAGCGTCCGGACGGGCATCGACAAGCTCATCTAATGATAGATTGATCGATACGCTCACTCCCTCATTCTCACTCTCACCAGAGGAAGAAGTAATGATGATTTTATATATAATAGGAGGAAAAGCATGATTAAAAACCTAGATTAAAGGAAGATAGAGAAGAGTTTTATCTTGACTATTAAAGAAGCAAGAGGATTGGGCGAAGAATGAATGAATGGCAATGAAGATCTCACCCCTTTATATTAGCAGACTTAGAATTTTTTTGGGAGAAATTCCCTCCCTCCACCCAAACTAAACCCACTTATAGGGTGTCATGTGTGCAGCGTTGTCACCACCTTGCGCCACTTGGATTGCTCGACCTATTTATATTATACCAACTATCGATGAGAGATGAGTAGACAAAAAAAAAAGATGCATGGAGAGATGAAGATGCTACCCCTTATTTATAAATATCGACAAGAGATAGAGGGGTAGTGATATTGCATGACACAAATAATTGTCTATGATGAACAACAAGGTGAATGTTACTTAATAGGCCATCTACATTCATGCTGGGTCGTTGACCACTATGAGGTATTTTGTGTCCATGCCGGATCATGGACCACTATGAGGCCCTCCACGCCCTTGTCTGGCCGTTGACTACTATGAGA